CCAATGTTCCTCCCAATCATAAGAAACAAGAAATCTATCCAGCTTTGAGCACATCAGATTCTCCTGACAATTAGTCCAGGTAAATATGTATTGACTAGTCTCAATATCCTTTAGTTCAAATGTATCTATAAAGCAATTAAATCTTTTCATGCTGGTGGTAACCTTTTGCCTTGGATTATTAGATTCAGCAGTATGTCTGATCACATTAAAATCCCCCCTAAAACACCACGGGCCTTGCCATAAACCTCTCACATCTGCCAGTTCTTCCCACATCTCATTTCTATCCCTATATGAATTAGGCCCATAAACATTTGTTAGGACCCAATTAAACTTATCATCTATATTCTGCAATTTTATTGTCACCAAGTATCTACCTATCAATTCCTCCACACATTCCACCGCATTCTCATTCCACATAGTGACTATCCCTCCTAAGGCCCCGCACGACAAAGCCATGGCCCATCCAATGTCTCTACCTCCCCATACACTCCTTATCCACCTTGTGCCTTTGACTATTGGAGCATCACCACATCTGGCTTTTCCCTCCTTAAAACTTCCTTTATGAGCCTTCTCTTAGCAGCCCTCCCCAGACTTTTGACATTCCAACTTATAATCTTCATTTCACCATCACTTCACTTGGCCCTACCTTATCTTTTGTTTTCAGCCTTTCCTTCCACCTTCCTTCACCCTCTTCTCTCCCCTCCTCTCTGTTTTTTTCAGCTCCCTTACCTTCCTTTCTCCTGCTTTTCCCCATCCAGGCATCTCCATTTTCTGAGCCTTGTTCAGACCTAAACGACAGATCTTCAAACCCAGCTTCTCAGCACACTTCCTTAGTGATATTTCCTCATCAGAGTCCCAATTTGTGAGCTTTTCAACTTCGGGTTTAAATTGGGACTTTGGGTTCAAAAGGGGTCTTAGGGATTCGGAATGTGAGTCCCTCATCTCTCTTTTGGCCAGACTTGACTCAATTTTTTTGGATCAAATTGTTGAGGATACCAGGGTATGGTCAATCTCCCCCAATGGTCTTTTTACTTGTGCTTCATTCTTTAACTTCTTAACTCAGCCAGCTATCCAGTGTTTTAAAAGCAAGGGCCATTTTGCGCCTGAGGCGCAAGGCAAGGAACGTGCCTTTTTGAGGCAAGGCACACAATTAAAAAAAAAAAGCTAAAAAATCAAAAAATGCAAAAAAATAAAAAAATATATAAAACGTAATATTAATAAAAATATAAACTTAAGTTTTAAAAAAACTATTATCTAAAATTAAAATGCATAAACATAATATGTAAAGCATATTCAAATGAGAATTTAAAAATGAAATCAAACATATAAAACATTTTCAAGCATATAAAACCCACGATCTCTTTTTTTCTCAATTGCATAGTAGCTAATGTGACATATTACATTCCTAATTCTAGAAGCCGCCTTTGTGCCATGCCCCTCGAGGCAAGACCAAACAAGTCCATGTTAGGGTCTTAATTTCTTAGTTTTCACACAAAAAAATAACGATTTTATAGTTTTAATTGCTTTTAATAAGATATTTTATTATGATGAATGAATGGACAACATTATCAAATAGGGGGTTCTCAAAGCTTCGGTGAGCAAGCGAAAAGGAAAAAGCGGCAAATTTTCAAAAGGCACACGCTTGGGCTAAGGCACAAGGCGCACGCCTAGGACTTGAGCGAGGTGCCTACCCTAAAATGCGCCTCGCCTGTGCACCTAGGCGCACCTGAGGCGTGCCTTTTAAAATCACTGCAGCTACCTTGGGGGCAATGTTCCCGGTGAAAGAAATTTGGAGTAAGCCAATCCCTCCTAAGATTCAGACTTTTGTTGGGAAGTCTTCCTTGGAAAGATAAACACTTGTGATATGCTGCAGAAAAGAAGGCCAAATAAGTGCCTCTCCCCTCATGTGAGGAGCCTATGTAAATGCAATGGTGAAACTGTTTCCCATATCTTTCTATTCTGCCCTTTTGTGCTTTGTATCTGGGAACATCTTTGTTCTCTTTTTGGGTGCAGGTGGAGTCCCCCGCAAGAGATGGTGGGCCTTTTTGACCCTAGCTTCATGAGGAAACCAAAACAAAGAGGAAGATTATTATGGAAAACAGCGAGGGCTGCCTTGGATTGGACTATTTGGGAAGAGAGAAATGGAAGAATTTTCAATGAAAAAAGCATATGAGAGATGGAAATTTTTGAAATAAAAAAGTTAAAAACTGCTCACTGGGTAAAAACTCTGGAAGACTTCGAAGTCTTCTCTTTGAATGACATCCTGAGAACTTGGAAGGAAGTGCTGTATCAGCACAAGGAAAAGAAAAGTTTTTTATGGAGTGGAGACCGCCAAAAACAAATTTCATGAAGCTGAATTTTGATGGAAGCTTCCTTGGTAATCAAAATGTAGCTGGGATAGGAGGTATTTTCAGAGATTCAAGAGGAAAGGTGTTAGCTTTGTATTCAGGGCCTCTAGAAAATGGGGATGCACTGACTGTAGAGCTAATTGGACTCCTGCAAGGATTAAGATTTGCTAGGTAATTTGGGTTCCTTAATTTGGAAGTGGAAGGGGATTCTCAAGTGGTCATTGCTTGGATAAGATGTAGCACCCAAATCCCATGGATATATAGGCATACTTTTAGGGAGATTGTGAGCATTGTAAGGGAGTTGAATGTTACTTTCAAATGGGTGAGAAGAACAGCAAATGGGATGGCAGATACTCTAGCTAAACAAGGGGCTAGGAGACCCCAATTGTTTTGGGCTGAATGTAAATCTGTAATTTGGAAAAGAACACTCTCACACTGTTGTAATTTTCTGTTCAAACTCTAATAAAATATTATCTCATTGATTCAAAAAAAAAAATACCCCACCAATACCCGATGGGCCGGGATTGCCGATACAGCTACCATCAAAATTCAATTTCTTCCACCCAACACATGGGGGTGACCAAGCCTCTACTATTCTTCGTTTTCTGGAGAATGAAGCAGCAATTGAACCCCACCAATTGCACCACCCTTAAAGTTATTACCTCTACCACAACTTCCTTCCTTCCCTGTCTTCAAAGATTCTTAGATTCCTTTCTTCCCAAAGTGTCCAAACCACCGCTGCTCTAGTGCATCTCCCCAAAATCCTGCCTATTCTTTTAGAGCACATAAAAACAGGAGAGCTAAGTAGTCCCTCCAACCTATAGGGGCGAGCCATCTGCAACCAAAAAAAGAAGAAAACTACTCTCAAATAGAGAGAGCCAAAGGACAAGAAACTAAGAGGTGAAAAGCAGTCTCACCAAATAACTTACACAAGAAGCACCAACATGGGGACAAACACCAGTTTGGTCTTTTCCTCTGAAGCAAATCACAAGTATTAATAGAACCATGAAACACTTCCCAACAGAAAGCACTGATTTTAGGAGGAATGGGCCAAAACCATATTTCCTTCACAGGGAAAGAACAGTGGGGGTGGCTACAAGAAAGTTCAAGAAGGACTTGCAAGAGTATGAACCTATATGATCAAGGGCCCACACTCTAGAATCTGAACCACTACCCCCCAAGACCACTGAATTCAACAAGCTAAGCAAAGCAGTATTACTGGACCTAATATGCCTGTATGTTCTTTTTTTTTTTCACAACCATGCTTTCTTTTGATTAATGAATTCATCTCTGTCATTCTGTCTTGCTGATAAAAAAAAGTTCATACAACTTTTTAATACATTGGACCTAATAGGCCTGCCTAAGCTTGACTAACCAACCAAAGTGTGGCCCAGGCCCAAGCCCAACCCGATTATGTCTTCGGTTCAGACTAGGTCATAGTTGGATAGATCGAGCTTGACCTTGGGCTTGGTATGGGCTCGGGCCTTAAGACCAATGCTCAAGGGTTGGGCCTGTGTTGACCTTAAACCTGAGCCAGCCCACCTGACTTGCACCTCTATCTTACAAGAGAAAGCATTCATGGTGCATAATTTCATATCATGTTATAATACTTATATATTTAATACAAAATAACATATAATGCACATGCATATCTATATATTTTTTTATATTTTTTTGTATATTCCCAGTCAATGCAGGTCAATTGCATATAAAAAACCTAGGGCGAAACCCAAAAACTTCTGGGTCGGGTTGGACCCGACCAGGAATCCAAACCGAGCTAGAAATGATCACCCCTAGGTATTATCAGATGGAATTTGGAAATGAAATCCCTTTCTATCTGGGCTTTCAGCTTTGGAGACAGAGAAAAACATCCCTCC